ACAGGTGGGATACCTTCAGCACTCAGGCGGGCGTTGATCCTCTCCAGCATTTGTTCTTTCTCGTTCGCGGGGATGAGGATCCATCTTTTCCAGTCAGGGTGCGCCTCTGCAAGCTGCCTGGCCTCGTCTTTGGTTATGAACTAGTCCCGTTAGCCAAGCATACCCTTGCGACAAGAGTATACCTACGTAGAATCGGTCCCATTGTTCCTGGCTGTGGTTTGCAGCTGTTCGGGCCTCTTGGACCGTCGCATTTATCCGAATACTCATGGCGACTGGACGACCTGGGGACAACGAACGACGCTCAAAGAAAGCCTGCTAGTTTCTGGAATCACAGGAAGCAAGAGGAGCGGGAGATTTTAGGGCACCGCGGTCTACCCCCCGCTTCCGCCTAGTCTTGGCAGGATTTTGTTTTGAGGGAGGCTGAGGTGAGGAACTGTGACGGTGCTCGCAGGGCTCGGGCCTTAGAAAGTCGGAATCGGCGGTGGCTGAAATGCTTGTGCGTCATTCTCCAAAGGATGTCATTGGCAGAAAGCACCTCGAGTAAGAACGGCAATTTCTCATGTCTATTGTTTTTCCACGAACCTCCTGGCAGACGTTGGTTCTCGTGTCATATCGCCCTGGTGGTGGGCCACCGACGAAGGACGATCAGCTCTTGCTGTCAAATTTCATGCCGTACGCCCATTTGAACGTTCCAGCACGGACATTCGGTAGTCTTCGGCAACACCACGTTCAGTAATTCTAGGAACGATGCGATTGCTTTTCCAATCGCAGCCGTTCTTAACGAATATGTGTCGTACAAATACAATATAGGTCATTCAGTAATTCAGCACCAGGCGACCGGTCACGCATGGTTTCGCCTGACCAACACGAAGATTATTCAGGAGGTGCGGGATCCTTGCAATTAAGAGGCCTCTGCCGCAGCCGAGCGCGGAAAATTCGATACTGTACGCGTTCGGCCGCTATGGTCGATCAACCGTGTACGCGGACCCGGGGTCAGACTCGATAGTCCAGGTCACATTTCCGGCCCTAACCGGCCCGAGCCTCAATGTGCAGCACGTTCCAGGGCTATCCTAGAGAGCTGATGTGTGGGATGCTATACCACAACGCTTTGCTTTGCCCTCTTGTCTCAATTTTCAAAAGCCAGATCCTCAAATTTGGGCCTGAAACGCACCCCAGGGCAGACCTCTCCTTGCTTCATCTAGTACGACGTCCCTGCTCATATCCTCTTCTGGTTCCAACGGCGACACTGCGGGGCACTAACTGGAACGGCAAGTTACGCCGTGCGCTTTCGACTTCGAGTTCCCACGTCTTACGCGCCTCGCGTGGGACTGAGACATGCAACACCAGACTCGTGGTCATCGTTCCCAACGCTGCCTGTACTTTGGTTACGCCACGCGACGGCACTAGCTCAGATCTTAGTTCTGTGTACCGCTACACAAGGTCAGCTCTGCAGCCCATAAGCAAGATGCGGGTTGCACGGCATGGGAAACAATGCGCGACCGCTGCCAGATCAAGGTCGACTGCATCATCGAGCATGCGACTGTCTGTATGCATATTCCGAGTTGGAAAGGCGCCTACCGAAAAGAACCCCGACTCCGAATGGTTGTCCCACTATTGGATGACTCGCCATCTTTCACCGCCCACGTCAGGTTACTCACCGGTGGTTGCTCACTATCGCGATCTGACTTGCTGACAGTTGGCGGCGTCGTTGACGTCCACCATGTTGTATAGCTCCAACTACCCCCACACTAGGCGTCCGTACCACACGGTCGCGTCTGCCATGCCATCACCGCCCGGATCAAACTGCTCGACTAAGGCCTGCAATCCAGACCACTTGGTGCAGAGTTGGGCGCCTTCGTTACGAACGACACGCCGTCAGCAAATCTCCCCAGGTTACGCCATGCATGTTGGTTTTCAGAAAGCAAGAAAAATGATGAAATAACAGGGTGGATCTGATCCGAGCACCGTTCTCGCGACCGTTAGCGTGGAGATAGAAGGACCAAACTTCGCCATCGCTATCCTTGCCTTGGTCCTTCGACACGAAGTGCCGTAGTAGTTCAGTAGTACATGGGTTCGGCGCCAATCATTGGTATTACATTGACATGGTTTGGCCCATATGACTTCATGGCATGTGAAATGGAAGTACCAGCACTGACACATCTCAGCTCCAGGACATGCAGGCAGACTTTGTACGCGCACGTGCGTCGCTGCAGCCCTATGCTCGACATGATCCAGGTAAAGCGAGCGGCAGGGCAAAGTCGGGATAAAGGCTTTCTTCTTCTCAACGACTTCTCCCGTTCTCCCTAATATTATCCGAACGCTGGGATTGCTTGCTTTTGTCAGCGGGCGACTGCCGATTAATCAAGTTCATTATCGTCTGGACACCGCATTGGACCTGGTGCTCCTTGTTAGCATTATCGTTTGATCGGCTCTGTTGATTGCTAGTCATCTTTCGCATTCGCATTCGCCTCATCATACTGCCACCTTCTCATCTAGAGACCTTTGCTCATCCCGGATTTGCATTTCCGCGTTTTGCTTGTTCTTGTCACCTCTCAGCGCGCAACGGACGTTTGTGCATCTCCACCACAGCTCCACTCAAAGTCAAGACTGTGCGATTACGAACGTCAAGAAAGATAACACTATCCAGACGCCTACGGAGCCTGCGAAAGAGCTTGGTGCAAAATTATGTTGCAATTTACTCCAGCCGACTCGCCAATGTTTCTTCCATTACCTAACAAAGGTCATGACAACTTCTCCTACTATCGAGTCTTTCTTGGTTCGTTATCAGTTGTTTCGTTTCATCGCTTCTTCCGCTGCCGGGTACAATCCTTGTTTCGTTCATGCTGTTTCTCGGAAAGTCTGTGCCGAATACATTGCATGGTTTGTTAGCCGCGGGGAAATTCTGCAACTTCGCCTCCGTGGTTGCTATATGCTTTACGCAACTGTCGCGATTACTGATTATTTTCCTCTCACATATTTCCAGAGATATAAAAATCTACTCGATGTAATGCGGGAGCTGGCGGTCCGATGCATTCTTGCCAAACATGGTAATTGGAAGGAAGCCCCTTCGTCTCTAGTGCACCAATTACGACCATGCTAGGACCTTGGCTACTATATTACCCCACAACTAGACTCACTTCAAGTTACGATTGCCGCGTGATCCAATCCAAAGCGGAGAGCCCTGTGCCGCTCCGCTTCGAGTAAGTATTGAGCGTAGTCGCGACGGATTCCTATAAGTTCTGTGGTAGCGAGCCCTACATAGCAATGGCTGCACACTCGCCCAAACCGAAGTCCCATTTCAGCATCATGAAGATACTCCCAATAGTTGCCCTAGGCGCAGCTGCGACAGCGTTGCCCTCAGCAATCGATCTGTCCCCGCGAGCCTCCATCTCAAAAGCCGATGGTCTCAAGTTCAACATTGATGGTGTGACTAAGTGTAAGTCGATAGACCGCTAGCCATATTCGCACCACTCATATTGTCATCAGATTACGCTGGAACGAACTCCTACTGGATCCCTTTCTTGACAAACGATAACGATGTCGACGTAATCATGGGCCACCTAGCCACCTCAGGCCAGAAGATACTCCGGATATGGGGTTTCAACGACGTCAAAACCATTCCAGGATCCGGCACAGTATACTTCCAGTCCTTCTCCGGATCTACCGCCACGATCAACACAGGCACAAATGGTCTCCAGCGCCTCGACGCCGTGGTCAATGCTGCAGAAAAACATGGAATCAAACTTATCATCAACTTTGTAAACAACTGGACCGATTATGGGGGCATGGCCGCCTACTTCTCCGCGTGTGGCGTAATCAGCAATGCGCAATGGTACACAGCGACTAAATGCCAGACCATGTACCAGGCGTACATCAAAGCTGTCATTTCGCGTTATCGCAACTCCAGCGCTGTGTTCGCGTGGGAACTGGCCAATGAACCGCGCTGCAGCCTCTGCCAGACATCTGTCCTCACGAACTGGATCCGCCAAACGAGTGACTACATCCGCTCTCTCGACTCGGACCACATGATCACCGTAGGCGATGAGGGCTTCGGTCTTACAGGCGACGGCTCCTACCCCTACCAGTACACCGAAGGCATAGACTGGGAAGCAAATTTGAGATTGGGCAACATAAGTTTCGGCACCTTCCACTTGTACCCAGATAGCTGGGGCGTAAGCAACTCATTTGGCGACGGCTGGATCGAAGCGCATGCTCGGATTTGTGGAAAGCTCAACAAACCGTGTCTGTTTGAAGAATATGGTGTACCCAAGAAGGAGGATCACTGTCCTGTGGAGGGGGGCTGGCAGAAGACCAGTCTGTCGTTGAGAGATAGTGGGATGGCGGGGGATTTGTTTTGGCAGCTGGGAGATACGGTGCAGAGTACGGGGCAGTTGACGCATGATGATGGGCATACGGTTTATTATGGGAGTGCGGACTGGAAGTGTTTGGTAGACGAGCATGTCAAGGCTATCGGGTAGAACGCAGGCGTGAAGCCCGTCCCGTGTTGGTGCTTTGCTAGCTCACAACGCGACGCGTGGAGGGGCTGAACCCCAACACTCCACCATGTACCACATCACCAAACCCGATTGATTCCGCCCAAGGGTTGTCACGCATCACCAGGCCCATTGAGACACCCTGATGTCGTCTGCCTACAGCTTGGCAATGATTGTTTGCAGTGCTGCGCAGGGCATATTGCAAACTGCAGAAGGAGACACAAGCTTCGTCAAGCTTGCCGAACGGCGAGACATGCTCACAAAGCGCAAGCAGCCGTGATTGACAGCTGCGCATTCGCTACCGGTTAGAAGAGGCACTATGGAGACTATGGACCACTACGAGGCACAGCAGAGTGGTCTGGATGTAGTTTGGGGGCCATAATCAAGCGCCACAAGCGAACAGCGTGCAGCCGCCCAGAGACAGCTGAACGTGCGTGCAACCGCAGCGGACAGTCGGGTCATCCCTTGAGGCCTTATTCCTCAGGCTTTTCGCCGACTAACCTTGCGATGTCGTCTCTTCTCTTTGCGACAGTCTATTTCCTCGATCCCCTGTCGTGAAGTCTTGCCGTCGCATCCAAGCTGAGCCGCTCACCTGCAGCCCCAGGTCATACAAACGCGGCCTCGCGCAGCCTCCCGCCAATACCGACCGCAAGAACACTATAAGAAGAGAAGGCTGAAACGTAGGCAACAGCAAGAGGGGCGCTATCCGCCAGGCATCATGGTCGACCGCCGGCCACTCATGCAGGAGTCCTCGGACCTCTCTGAGAGCTCAGACAACACGCCCGCCCTGCCTTCGCTCGGCTTCTCCAGCAACTCCCATACTCTCGGGCTTACTACCCCGCCGCCTGCGCGACCGCACTACGCACGGCTACAGAGCGATACCACCGCCGTCGGTCGCAACACACCAAGTATCGTACAGGAGGAGGACGAGGAAGAAGACATTGCAGACGGCTTCCAACGCGGCAAGGACAATGGACTAGGCATAGCAACATCCCCTGTCGCGACAACGCAGACCGCCAGGCGCGTTAGCATACAACCCATCCCGCGACGAGCCGTCGGTCCTGGCCCCAAGAGCCCGCCCACCAAGAGCCCCGGCGCATTCTCGCCTCTAGGCTCAGCCGACCCATACTTTGGAGGCTTCCCCAAGAGCTCAAACGAGTCCACACCCGATCTGCGACGAGACAGGTTCAGCCCCGATGTTGGTAGAGCAAGTCCTGACGTCGGCACGTACGAAGAGTTTCGGCACGGCATACTCAAGAACGCAAAGCAAAGCAACAGCAGCATAAATGAGTACGAAACATACATACATTCCGCTGATACCGATGGACTCCGAGGAGGAGGCGCCGCTCCCTCGATCAAGTCAGCATACGAGAACGACTTTCGCCCAATTCATGAATGCGCGACGACACGAGACTTTTACCACCCACGCATCACCTGGCTCAATTTGTCTTTGATTGTCATATCGCTGTTCTCGTGCTTGTTCTCTGGCATCTTCTTGGCCCTGGCTATCCGTGCCCCTCATTATGGGCGGCGCATTACTAGCCATGGGCCTATTACGCCCGCCGATGCTATCCTACTCACGACGGTCATGGCCAAGCTTATTGAGTTGTCTTTTGTGACGGCATTTGTGGCTTTCCTTGGGCAGGTGCTTAGTCGGAGGGCGTTTATGAAGGATCATGGGAGGGGGGTTACGTTGTCGGAACTTAGTATGTGGAGGTGGGTCGTTCAACCAGGTAAGCAGATGTCCTGTGTGGATCGTTTGTGAGGCGTGTTCTGACTTTTTTGTGATAGGCACTTTGATCACCCACTGGGAGACTGCAAAGTATGCTGGACTGTCTTTTCTGGGCATACTGAGTTTGCTGAGCGCTGTTTTGGCGACGCTTTACTCATCTGCAGCTGCCGCTACTGTTCAGCCTATGCTAAGAGATGGTAATTGGGATAACGGCCTGGTTCTGGCTGGCCGTGTCAAAAGCGATTTCGCAAACATCAACTACCTCAAGGAAATGTGTCAAACGCCCATTCGAACCGACCAGAAAGCTCAAGGAGAAACTTGTCTACAGATGGAACACGCTGGCCAAGGATACCACAACTTTCAGCGCTACCTCTCGGATTGGGATCTATCAGCCAGGAACGGCAACGGCACTTCAATCCAGAAGCTACGACCGCAGGGCTTTGGGCTTCTGTACGAGAACACTACGGTCACTGGGCAATGGATCGATATTGTCAACACTACTGAGGTTTCCCAGAAGTACGGTAGGGTTATCAACAATGTGACAATGGCAATGCCTCATTCAGGCGTGTTCGCTGCTGCCCGCGACCAAAGAAACGGAATCCTGCAGCCTGAAGAGCTAAACTCCGAAGGAACCTACTCGTTGCGCGCTTCGGTGCCGTCACCAGTATTGAACGTATTATGCGTAAACATGAACAGGACCGAGCTGGAGCCTATTGTATACGACGCCTGGAACGATGAGGTGGTCGATCTTCTTTCTTGGGGAAACGTTCCCGGTATCAGGGACAACGCGACCACAACCAACCAAACTGTGGTGGATGACATCTTCGGCTGGGACGTTAACGACACAACAACCACGATGAACTGGCCGCCCGTCTTCGGCAAATACCCCTTGCCTTTCAACACAATCATGAACCACACTAGCTTTGCCTGGGGACGATCCGCAATCTACCTGCTAGGACAAGGAGGACCAGATGATGTTGGCATGGATGGGACAGGCATCTTCTCATTGTGCAAATTACACCTCACGGTGAGACCAGGATGCAGTACACGTCATAATGTCACCGGCTCGGGCGCGACTATGGAAGCGCTTTGCGAAGACCCCAACGACAAAAAGGCCTTCGTCGAGACGGGCGAAGAAGTCAGCGTCAATACAAAGGGCGTGGCTAATTGGCGCGACATAGGTACTGACTGGTCCAACAGTCTGTCACTCGGCACAGGCCTCATGGATGCAAATGCGAGTACATCCAGACTATTGACACAATTGGTATTGAAGCCTACCAATCCGGATCCAGAAAACCTTCAGGTCGACCTAAGCAATGCCATACCCAGTTTAGGGGAGGCCCTGGCTGTTTTGGCTGGATGCACCTTGCTGTTGAGTATGGTGGATACGCCTTTTGTGACGTTCTGGGTGTGTAACTCTTTCTTTTTCTGTTGTTGGCGTCTTGCCACTTCGTAGCCCTCACTAGCGAATTCGCTGACACAACCCACAGAACTATTCCCACCCTATGCTCGACGAGTACCAAACGCAATACTTCAACGCCTCGCTCAAAGCCCAACAATATGCATCCGGGGGCATGCCCGGCGCTTCCAAAGCATGGGTACTCATACTTGCTCTCGTCTTCGCCATGAACGTCTTTGTCCTCATCTACTTCATCTTCCACCGCGGCCTGGTGACAGACTTTTGCGAACCGCCCAACCTCTTTGCCCTCGCCGTCAACTCGCCCCCATCGCACGTCCTCGCCGGATCTTGTGGCGGCGGCCCAGAAGGAAAACAATACATGGTAAACTGGTTTGTAAACCACGAGGGCAACCACTTATACATGGAGCCCGGCGAGAAATCCCACCTCCTCGGTGGCCACGGCCACGGCCAGCCGCACGTCCACATGCATAGTCATACCCACAGCCCACTCCATGAAGCTCCACCAAGAGAAGGCAAAGGTGTGAATGGCTTCTTCGCCCAGATAGCCGAAACGGTCAAACGTAGATTCAGTATGAGAGAGCGTTCTGCGCCGACGAAGCTTCGGCCAGCTAGTGCGGTGGAGAGTCTCAGACCCCCTGTGACTGTGAGGCCCGGGAGTATAGCGTCGGATTATGAGATGGAGGATGGGCAGACAAGGACGTCGAGGCAGTATCAGAAGTTGGCGAAGAGGAGGAGTATGCTCTGAGCTTTGAGCTTTGACCTTGGGTGGTAATGGCTTGATGTGTATGTAATGTTTATATGTAATGAATCACTAGACGTCTATATGTCTTCTTGCTTGAGTAGCGTGCACTTATAATAGAGTAGGTAATGTCAGCTTATCGTGAACGATTCGTAACCGTACATCCTATAATGCTCATTGACAAACACCACCTGGGACAAGCGCAAAGGTATCCGAGGTGTCCGCAAAGGCAAGCTCTATATGTCACACATTGGCCTGAAGCAATCCATGTGCTTCACGTACTTATGTGTTGTAAAAGCCGGAATGAATTTACATGTAAATCTATGGCCGCCACGAACGCCATGTTCTCCTCGCTGCTGTCCCCATAACCGGATAATACGGCTTCCTCCTCTGCGCATCGCTGTCACTCCCTCCCACCTCGTCCGTCACTGCTTTATACGATCTGTGTAGTTTAGCGACGTTGTAACAGTGTTGGACTTGGGTGAGTGTACGTCGAGCGCTCCGTCATCTCGTGGCTGTGGGTCGGATGATCTTTGCTATCGCTAATAAGTTTCATGTGTGAAAGTTGCGACTAGCTTTTGCGGACCTTGTAGCCTCCATCGCCAGGTTGGTTATCTCCGTGGTTTTTTGGCTGCAGCTGATTAGTATTGATGGACCCACAAAGAGAGAGAAAGCCCCGTTTAGTTCTTTGTCTTCCCACGTCTAAGAAGCGCTGAATCTCGGGGTAGTACGCGTTCAAGCACGAAGGCTTGAATCAATGGCTCTCTTTTTTGACGCTTAGAGTGTGATAGGCTAATTTATGCATACTTTTCTATCATAAGAAGCCATGCTGGAGCTTCAGCGCAAAAAAAATGTAAGGACAGGCGAAGCTCGAAAGAACTTTAGGGTTGAGTGATGTTGAAAGATTGTTAAAAACGAAGGATGCTATCCGAGAACGATGGATAGCATGGCACTCTTATCCATGAACTCACGAACGGGAAGCGACCTCGGACTTGAGCAGCTGATAAGACATCCGTATACACTAGCATCCAGCCGAGAGACCTGCTGATGGCTATTCGTTCAGACTTCACCGATAATATATCCACCAGTGGACAAGGCTGACTCCTTATCCTATCAATATAGCATGGGATACACATACCCCGCTCTCACAGGCGGAACATTGGGTCTACGCGGTACATGTAGGCTTGGAAGCTATTATTGTAGCCTATAGTACTCGAGGAAGGAGCGGTGTGGCTCTCTGCCAAAGCCACGTTCTTTGCTATCGGAGTGACGAAACGGCGACACGGTCCGATGAACGTCGAGCGTCAAGGCATGTGCCATAATACAATACCCATGCTTTGAATGTGACAGACAATGGAGGTTAGAGATCATGCTCGGGGGCGTGGAAGGTGGTAGTGTTGTTGGAATAGAGCTAAGAAAGGTCAGATCAGTCAGACAGACCTATGTCGCGATCATTCTGTAGAATGCGTGATGGGAGACAGGCTAGAGGCCTTGCGCCTCAACAGAGGTCTAAGCAGGTTATGCCAAAAGAGCTTGTTGTGTAAAGAGATCTATATCGCCAGCGTAGAAATGAGTGTGAACAGTAAAGAACCGCAACGAAAGACACAAAAACAACACAGAACCCTACACGGTACCCCCGATAGCGATCAACGCCATCATCTACACACAAAACCCAGCCTCCCCAACATCCCCACATTCTCATCGCGCCGGTGGCTGTGTCCAACGCCCCAACATCTGACCAAGTGCCCAGTTCCATTCATTAACAAAAGCATTCGTGAGCTGCGTGATCTGATCCGCAGACGGCGTCTGACCTGCCCACATAGCTGGCTGCGATGCTTGGTAACGCGCATAGTATGGCAGCAGCTGGCTATTTAGAAATCAGCAAACGAAATCGCAAGCTATTGCAGGTTTTGGAAGGCGTACTCAGTCTGTATCTTGTTCAGAACCAACCAACACAGATTCCATGAGCGGTTGCTTGCGGGATCGGCGTAGACGCGTCGCTTCGCCTCGTCTAGGCAGTCGGAGCTATGAGTGAGTTAACTCATGCATTGGGAGATGCTTTGTCCTTTTTTGAATGCATGTTGGGCGGCTTACCTGAAAGGATAGTTCCTAGTCAGTCCGCGAAGCTCGGTCAACAGGCCGTGCGACTCGACGTAGTACTTCCCTAATGCACACAATCAGTCTTCAATCTACATTGGCCAGTACTGTCGATGCTTACAAGCCGCCGTCATCGGCTCACTGCAGTCCGGTGTACCGAGCTTTGCAAAAGCCTGCTCGACACGGACGAGTTCAACGATAGTGTTGAACTGGTGGGATCGGAGCGCTTGGATGTATTGTGCCTTTTCGGCCTATTGAAGTTTAGTATCCGGGCAATCGGTGTTGACGGTCATATAGCGGATTGAGACGTACGGAGCTGATCTTTCGGCTGGAAGACATTCTGGCAAACTGTGGAACCCGGTATCTACGTGGTGGTGGGTTATAGTACTCGCTGTGAATGGGATTGGTAGAAGATGTAGGATCGATGGACATGTAATAGCGATTCGAAGCCGAGCTTAACTGAATATGGGGTACCGAAGTTGATGTAGGAGGATGTATGGGAAGAACAGCTTGCTGTGATGAGTCCATCGTTTGTTGAAGATAGTCAAAGTGTTATATAGGTCTTTTCCATTGCTGATGTTGTCGTAGGAGTGGCCCTCTCAGCTATAGTCATCTCATAGCCAATGTATGTGTGGCGAGGCATCCACAGAGAGCCACATGCAAGAAGGTTCCATGGGGATGAGTTCAGCTCTCGACGCCATATCGTCATAAGAAGTTGTAGGCTTCCCAAACAACTGTGCCAAGGGTGAAGAAGGCAGCTGTGAATTGTCGAATGCGGAAGCATCAAGTAAGATTATGAATCCTTCGAGGAAATATGAGATGACCCTCGTCCCTTTAGGCCTCCGTGCGTTCGATGTAGGTCCGATAGTGTTAGCATCGTCTTCTTGATAGGCCGGTCTGCTTGCAGCAATGGGTCTGCGACACACCAAACACAAGTGCTGTGGTCAGATTATAGGTCATGAACAAGGGCGATGTGACTTGGTCATGTCTCTCGCGGCCCGGTCGATCTGAGTCCAAGAGCCTTTGTAAAGGTACTGTGATAATACCAGCCACATTCTTGATGCCGAGAGTTTGGATTGATCGCTCATTGGTCGTGTATTCAACATGTTTCAACTGTGTAAGCAACAGTGGATCGCTTGAACCCTAGCAGCGTCTTCAACACCATCATCGCCGTTGCATATTGCGGAGGACATCGTGTATCAGGTAAGTGCCATGCTGAGGGCCAACGCGCAGCATGGTAGCTGAGCTCGATGTTGTCGATGTGTGGAGTAGTTAGGTAGGCGCAATCCTAACGGAGAGTGCGAAACATGTTCGGGAAGTCAACTTTCCGTTGTATATCTGGTTATCTCGACACAATGAGAAAGAAGCTAACCAGAATATGTCATGAGGCTGAGGCTGATATCCCCATATCTGTGCTGACGATGGAAGAGTTCATGGGATCCGGATTTGGCCGCTGTGGCTGGTTAGCTTGTGGCTGAGTATCGCACCCTCGCCAACTTCACCGCTATTACCTCGCAATCCTCACGCAATTCACGATTGCTAACAACACTGCTCCCGGATAGCTTTCATTCCGAGAGGTACCTGACAAAGCCGCTGCTGAGCAACTGCGCGTTTAGCATTCCGCGTTCCACGTTTGGAAATGTCCTTGGACGTCACGATCCCCATCTCACCAGCCACGCGCATAAGCACGACGTTGACCCTCAGTCTCGGGACCCGCGATCCTGGAAAAGGCATATCAATCTGGACAAATCTATCGCGATTGATTGAAGCCATTGGTAGCCATCACTCAGCACACGCATATTGGCCCTTGAGGCTGTATCGGCATGTCAGCAGCTCTTCGTCAGAAAGAGCCTCAAGACACATGAACTAGTATCTGAGTGCGCATGACTGGAAGCCGCCATGTTAAACTTCTGTTGATCGACCGCTAGAAGGTATGCTTGTTGCGTCTCACCTCATTCCGCAGAGCTGCTTTGCAGCTACCACACGACGCAGAGTTGGGAGGCCATATGCGCCAATAGAAGAAGGTCGAACTGCCAAGTGGAAGATGCAGTCGCTCGTCTGGCCCCATGGACATTTCAGCTGCGTTGTGCCAGCCCCCATTCTGCCACTGCTTCGCATCTCATTCTATCTTGCGACTGGAAGGTTTCTAGACTGGTTAGCTCCTGATCACTCACGCATATCGACAAGGTAGCAATCATTGGGCACCAATGCTTTCGAATGGACCGGACGGCCACCGATGATTCGTAAAGATTCATGTTGGTAGATTCTTTTACATGAGCAGGCAGAAGTCTCTCGACTCCGCAGTGCGTTTGAAGTCGTCATCCACCTTTTACACCCAGACACCTAGACCCGAGTGGTCTATATGCTCAGCGCCATGATGGAGTTTACGATGTCGTTGTCGTTCTCCTTGAGGGCCTTGACGGCCTTCTTCCGCGAGACGCTGGCCTGCTGCATGACGAGCTCGATGTCCTTGGCCTCAAGACCAGAGTCGTCAATCTCCTCATCGTCGTCCTCCTCTTCCTCCTCGTCCTTCTTGTCCTCGACAGCCTTGGCCTTGCCCTTGCCGGAGTCGTCGCCGTGGTCGTGGCCGGCGTGGTCGTGGGGCGCGGACTCGCCCTGAGCGAGCTGCTGGGCGGCGGAGGCCTGGGCCTGGGCGTTCAAGTCCTCGATCTTGGCCTCACCGAAGATGCTGGTGCGGGGTCAGCAGGCGGCTTGTGCCATTGAGGGGCAGCGACTCACATCCAGGTGTTGCTTGAGGGCGACTTGTAGACGTCCGGCTGGTTGATAACAAACAGAACCTGGTAGGTGTGTTAGCCTGGTACCCTGAACTATGTCTCTGGTCTGCCCGCATCTCGTGTTTGTTGACTGCAGCTCCCCCACCAATTGCGCGGAAAGCACTCACGTTCTTCGGTCGGCGGAGGGTGACGCGTGTGATGCCGTCGATGTGCTTCAGGCCGAGCTTGGCAATGGCCTTGCGAGCCTTCTTCTCGTTGCGGGAGTGGACGGCGACGGAAGAGCCCGCGGGCACGTTGACCTCGCCCTCCTCGTTCTCAGACTCGTCGCTTGACTCATCCTCCTCGATCTGGACGTTCTTCTTCTCGGGCTCGTCGGGGAGCTCTTCAATACGGGGGTTGGCCATTTTGTCGGTTTGTGGGTGACGGCAGGTGGTGGTGGTGCTGCAATATCGAGCGTCGCGGAGTTGGGGTCGGAGCTTCCAAAAATGATTTGTGGGCGGTTTAGCGCGGGCAGCTCTCACAATTGGCATTGACGCCCATCACAAGCAACAATTACTCTCACAGCCTATGTCGCGCAATTCGCAGGGACGAGCATTTCAAAGGGGGTATCAAATTGCAATTCTAGTTGCACTGTTCGTGTGTGTTCATGAATTTGTGGATTGAACTCTCTTGCTACATGTGGAATGCATGCGAGAGCCGAGTAAACCGTTCCCAAACCGAATTGCACCGTGCCAAACATTGGACTTATTCGCCCTTAACCAGGCCTTGAATTTTTGAATGCCTTTGAGGTCGCCTTCGGAATGCTCATGAAATGCACGTCATGCCTCTATGCCACCTGCATGCAGCGATCACCACAACGCCTGTCTCCCGACAGCATCGAGACTACCTATGCCTTTGCGCTGGCGCGGATCTTGGCGAAGGTCTTCTGAACCTCGAAACGAGCCTGTGTTGTTGTTAGTCTGTGTTCCCAATTCGCATCCGGGGTACCGCGTCTCGTCCGAATGGTCGCATTCGAAGACACAGGTACAAGGCAGAACGTACCTGCTTCCTCATCTTCATGACCTTGAAGCGCTCAAAGTCATTGAGTCCCCGCCTCTTCTGGATAGCCGCACGCTTCTGGGCCCATGAGCTCTCGTCGAACTTTTGCTGGACCTTGTGCTCCTCCCACTTCTTCGCGACGTGGCCGTTACCCGAGGCACGGGGAAGCTTGGGGATGACGATGGGTGTAAGGGAGAGTTTCGCAAGCGCGACTTCCTGGCGAGGGACAGGGGCCTTCTCGGAGGGACCTTGGAGGAGGACCTATGTCTGTGTGAGCCGCTGAACAGCACCCGGATCGCGAATTTTCCATACACGCTTGTGGTCGATGATCTCGACGATGACAGCGAGGCGGCCCTCGAATGCACCCTCGTTGAAGAGGACCACGCGGCCGACCTCTACCAGCCTCCAGGCACTCGTTGTAATTTCGGCGTCACCCATTTCGTCGATATGTGCTGCAAGAGAATGTTAGACGGGGAGACACGTGGAGTATTGCTGCGTCGAAAGCGTACCGGTCGGAAATAGGAGTCGGTGTTGATGTTCTTGTCGGGAGTAAGTAATGTCGGTCGGTGGAGGTTCGAAATTCAGTGTGAGCCCGGGGCCGTGCACAAGCGAAAAGCGCCTTGGCGCTAGCGCCGTCCTTAAAGTTTTCTGCGACCGCGCGACTTCCATCATCTCCTCCAGCACCGCAGGCACCGCAGAAGCACCACGCTCAACTCGACAGCCGTCGCGACTTTATGCAGTCGTCGACGTGGCTATTACGACCACTTTACTTCGCACCATGCGCTCTGCAGGTGCAGACACGATGGACGCGACATGCGCCGAGCTAAACTACTCCAAAGACCCATAGCACCGACCCAGCACTCATAGCTCCACTGGTATGTCTCTCACCTCCACACTCCTCCCCCATCCTAGGATGACATAATTTGCGATTGAGCTCGGCGTCGGAGACCCTCGCCGGGGTCTCTTAACGGCGTCGAAGTCATGACATTCAATTTCTTACATATTCTGAGCTTGCTTGACCCATTCAGCTTCATTACCGCGCCGAGTTTGCGACACGGGCTGACCAAAACAGACGCTTAGATACCCAGCCAACAGATACCTGACATCCGACGTCGCTGTTAGCCTGCTCATTGCAAACCCATGTCGACATACGCCTGCAGTGCCGTCACTGCACACGGCTATCATGTACAGGTCAGTTCTTACTCTTCAACCTCACCGCCCCCACTCCCAATGATTACAACATGCAATAGATAGTATATGATTTCTATGATTACTATTTTATCACCAAGATCACTGAAGGGATCCACAAACACGCTCTGCTTGATAACGCTTTGTTTCGATACAAGTCACTAACAAGCCTGCAGGTAAAATCTCATGTGTACGCAAGGACGCTCAACACCGCTGCATGTGCCAATTGCGCGTTACTTCTACGTGTCCAGCCATGCTTTCAGCCTTCTTCAATCAAGTTGGCTTGTCCGCGTTGATCACGCGCGCATGTGATGAAGGTGACCAAAATCGTGAAGAAATAGTTTAGCACGATCAAGGCAATCCGCGCGATTCGTCAGGCAGGTCGCAAAGGTAAGTGATATGCAGGCCGTGTAGGCAGGGTATTCGCTCTAGCTAGTCTCAATACAAAAGTCAATCAACATCTGCATCATCTTCCGCGATTCTCTGCTCTGGTGTCGTCGCTCTCCTTCGTGTGATTTTCCTTCCGTAATTTCGGTAAAGGTTCATCAGCAGCTCCCTCACCACGTCGCTGAATGCTGTCCTTGCGTCAAATTTGCTTCCACCGTAAGGGAAGGGGACGATTTTGCCCCAGTCGGCGTTATCTTCAAAGTAAAACTCGAGATCAAATGCAACCGCATCCTTGAGCATGGCCTTGAGCGTCTCTCCCTTGTGACCGTTGACGTCTGCCCATGCCCACAGTGCAGGGTCATGGAAATTCAACGTGCTCGACGCCTCTTCGGCAAGGATCTGTGCGTTGAAGAGTAGGTGGCGGATAATGTTGATGTCGCAACCGCAATGTATGACAGCATACTGCAGTAGCTCAGTAGTGATGCCTTTTTGTACACCCAACAGCACGGCAAGCGCTGCCACCGCGTGCTCATTACCCTCCTTGATCGCTTCTTTCATGCCCCATTTCGCCACTTCACCTGCCATACTACCCTCCCAATCGATCTCTCCAGTCAGGCTAACCAATACGTAAAGCAGTGATGCTTTGTCCTCCGTCCATGGCCCATGCAACAACTTTTCTGGTATGTGAAAGCCTTGCGCAAAAGCGAGATGAGGGATCTTGGTGAACTTGTATGGCCATAGTCCGTCGAAGTAGGACACTCTGGGGATCGTAACTCCAGTAGCTTCCCAGGCCTTCCCGCGCAACTTGACCATGGCATCTTGTGCGCGCTGTACGTATCTCAAAAAGAAGTCGTAGGTAAAGAAACGGCAGGTCAGGATGTTGGACTGGAGTGAGGCATCGCTGGTGACGAGTCGGTCCCGATAGTTGGTACGGTGATCGACGGTATGGAAGAAGGCCTGCATAGTGAAGCTCATCTCTATGGCGTGTGAGGAGAGTTTCGCGCCAAGATCCCGTGAGCAGCGTGGAAGCGCTGGGTTCATGCTGTAAAGAAAGATCATTTCCAGCAGTTCTGTGGGGAGTCCTTGGAGCGTCGGCATGGCGGGCGTATATTCTTTTTTCTTGCGGGCTGATTTCGTTTTCCGTTGACGTTTGAGTTGAGATGTGGATGCTGAAGAGTTTTGTGCAGATATGGTAAAAGGTTTACTTTTGGAGGCAGCAGCATATGCTGGGTGTAAGTACTTCCTCTTCTTGCCACGCACGATGATAGGTGTCAGTTCCATCGGGTACTTATGAGCGGCTGTTGCGACCAGGCAGCACTCAAAAGTAAGCCACTTCCGATTGCATGCAGCATGCACAAGGTAGATGGATCGGGAAAGGCTCCGCGTCACCTTTTGGAGATCGCACTGTGCGCCACGTTTTGGTGCACGGGCCCGGTGTGGCTTTGCCGCGGCGTTCCTGGAGCTAGCGTTAGCTTTCCGCTCGTCTTCCTGTCGCATAAACAAAAGACCTGAGGAGATTGACGCACCACGCGCGCGTGCACCACGAACGGAAAAGCGAATCACCGAACGAACGACGCGACCACACCGAAGAGATGCAGGTCCACGCAGTACCCGATTCCGAGCGCGCGTTTGATTCGACTGGGAGGAGGCTGCCCTGGGGGATTGAGTTCGCAGAGTAAGTCATGTTTCACTGCCATTACCGAATGGAGCCTTCTGCACGCATGAGCCTAGTCATGCGACAAACAAGACTACAAAGTGTCCTTTATACGACATTCCTCTTCTTCATGCTATCTTGACGCCATGGACGACCTCAACTGGGATTCACCCATAGATTCGGACACACAGCTAACATCGATCCCTGACAGTCCCGATCAAAATCAACGGCGCGTGCCAGAAGAGAAAGGCCCCTTTGGCAAAGCACGGAAACGCGGCACCTCACGAGCGAAGACACCCTTGGGCGCCAGCAACGCAGCTGACGAAGCGAGACTCTACAACCAGCGCACAGAAGATGACATCTTCAGTCGTTTCAAGGCAGACGAGGACAAGAGGCGCTCGGTATCCGCGCGGCCAGCCGGTGCACTACCACCATCAGCTTCGGCACCAAATCTCATAGACGCAAGCAACGGACTGAACGTTTCGTTCGCAGCAGGCGCATCAACGAACGCCACTTTTGCACAAGAACCCAAGGAAGTCATACTATACGGCTTTGGCTCCGAACAGCAATGGGCTGCGATAGCACACTACGAGAAGGTTTCCAACGGAATGATCTACGAAGAATACGACCGCGAGCCACCCAACCCCAGGCTCGGCTATAGTCTAGCAGCGCAACGCTCGACGTACTACCCAAACTTGGAACCGAAATACTTGACCAGGATCAAGACATATCTTGGGGGAGACCACTGGGTCAAGGTGACTTTCGATAGTGCGGAAGCCGCCGAGCGCGCATGTCACTACAGTCCGAAGAACATCCAGGGCTACACAGTTTACGCAGAGATGTACAGAGGGACAGGACCACAAGGTGGTGACCGGCCGTTACGCGCTGAAGGAGGGGGGATGTCACAAATCGCTTCGCCCAACACCGTATCTTCAGGCACCCTGGGACCACGCGGCGCATCTCAGTCTTCCGCAACAGCCTCATCTGCCACAGCAACGGCATCCCAGCCTGCAGCGTCACAGGGACTCGTATCGCAATCGAACTCGGAACCAGCCTGGCTGAGGAGTACAAGCGGCGCTTTCCCAAGCCATCTCGACGACATGCCCGTGGAACCCATGTCTCAACCACGCGAAATGCACCAAGCTCTCGACCCAAACACCGTTCCCGCGCATGCAACTACCACGGCACTGAACCCCCGTTCTCAACGCGCAACCCTGCGACTCAAGGGCGCAAACGTGAAGCCCGCTATCTTCCTCCCACAAGAAAAGGCCTTCCTCCCCGCAAAACCCCGCTGGCAGCAAACAGTCGGCTCGGTGCCTGTCATTGGCTGGGTGATTGGCTCAGGACATGGTATCATTGGGGACCATGTACCGAGAAAAGAGGACGGAACTTTCGATGCGAACAATGCAAGTCTCTACTGGCGGGTGTGGTATATGGTGGACAACTGCTTCGGTAGTGACTTTTGTGGGGTCAGGGATGCGGAGTATGATGAGTAGGGTTAATTTCAGGTGGGGGCATTTTGTGTAAGACCAAGGGGTTTTTGACAAGCATTGGGCGGCGTTTTCGAAATGACAATATAGCGATGTGACTTCTAGTGCTTGGAGGGTTCGGTATCAAATGCATATGTAATGAAATGCGAGTAGCATCCTCAGCAGAAAGCGTTTCTTCCGTGATGTATGATTTGCGGGGTTGTCCAATCATGTAAGAATTCATGCTGTACAAGTCTCGAGGTGACTGCGTTGAAATCAATATGAGCAACGCAGGCGGAATGATGTAAATGGTCAAAATCTAGGGTGCATTTCCACTGTCTGGAACTATTCACAAATACGTAGGTAATACAACCCAGATCGGGTACATCTCGACTACATGCAAAGAAGATGCTTAGAGGACGGAAAGATCGCCAAACTTCTCCTGCGGGGTTGTCAGCACTTGCATATGAAAGTCTTGAGTGTTCCAGAAACTTGCCTTGTAGCCGGGAACGGCCCAGCGACCCTTGGAGACGAGCTGCTCGGTGCGCTTGTCGATCTCGGGCTGAGCAGCTGCGACCTCGTCCTGTGATATCTGTCAGCCTCTTGTCCCTCACTTGCCCGTAACCGTATATACGTACAACAGTGAGGTCAGCGAATGGCCTGGCATCCTCAATGTTCTTCAGTGTCTTCTGGAGGTCGCTCAACTCCTTGTCGACAACGCTCTTGGTCTGCTCTGCGCTCTGGACGGCCTGGGCCTCGAAAGCCTCAATCGCCTTGATCTGCCTTCCTACATCGTATGTCTGGGGCTTGAAAGCGTTGAACTGCTTCTCGATGTCGTCGATAACGGCCTGGTTCTTGAGGATGCCGCGGTAGTGGTTGAAGTCGACGGTCTGGGACTGCTCGGAGAGAACGGTGACTTTGCGACGCGCATCGTCGTTGCGCTTCTTGAAGGACTGGAGGGCGGCGGCGGTTTGGCCCTTGAGGCCGAGCTGGGTGCCCAGCTTGGTCCAGTCGAGCTTGAGGGCTGCGCTACGCTACAAGAGGGGATATGTTAGTTTTCTTGTTCTGCATTTCGGAGGAGCCATTGCGGGTGGGGGGCTGCTGCCGGCGCAGCAATTGGGCATTCGAGAGCTTCGACGGATCTTCTGGAAGGGGTGTGACGTACTCCGACGGCCATTGTGATGGATTTAGACGGGGATGCGGTGGTTTCGGTTCGGGAGGGTTGATGTCCAAGTTCTTCGCGAGAGCTCGGAACAGCGCCGCCAAGGATCTGGCGCACGGGCCACTCGACTTCCGCCTCGATCGCGGCCATGTTCCCCCAACATTACCTTTCCCATTCACACTCTACACTTCGTTGCTACATTCTCAACCAACAGTCTAAACCCGAACAACTCTCATCAACATGTGGATTCTCGACTGGTAAGTCCTTCACTATGTGCTCATGTCGCTTTCTTACTGACCTCGAGCCAGGTGTAAGTTCACTACCCTCCCTCGTTATGTCCCGAACTGGATGGACGCATGTGTTCGTTTCCGTAGCACGGCAGAGCAAGACCCCTCCAGCACTCTCTCATAGCACTACTATCGCCTTCCGAGGCCAACGTCTACAACACCGCGCAAGGAAACAACAAGGCCGGGCTTATCACATGCGCATCGACACTATACCATCGCATATGTCCCGAACACCTGCCGGATCAACCAATGGCTTGCTTGGAATATAGTTGAACATGGGCTGACGTTTTGTAACAGTCTGGGATGTTCTGTCCTCACTTGGACTCATGAACAAGGTAAGCAGGAGCATAGTCTCAACTTCACTACTCAAGCTAACACATCATCACAGCATGCCAAACTCCTCTTCCTCGGACTGTACGCACTTCCACATGCCAGCAATTTCAAATACGTATAGCTGACTAGGCTCCAGTGACAATGCAGGAAAGACCACGTATGGCTACCAGACTGGACACGCGAGATTCCGCTAACACGATTAGGCTTCTGCACATGCTCAAGAACGACAGGGTCGCTGTCCTGTAAGTGAGATGTGGCCTTATTGCACAACTACCAGCTAACATATAGACCAGCCAGCCGACTCTGCACCCCACTTCCGAAGAGCTCTCAATAGGAAACGTCAAGTTCACAACCTTCGATCTCGGAGGTCACGCACAAGCCCGCCGACTATGGCGCGATTACTGTATGTCAAGCCTGTCTGTTTGCTTTGCATGAACTGACAATGTCCCAGTCCCCGAAGTTTCCGGCATCGTCTTCCTTGTTGACGCCAAAGACCACGAGCGTCTCTCTGAGTCAAAAGCCGAGCTCGATGCTCTTCTCGCCATGGAGGAGCTGAAGAATACTCCTTTCGTCGTTCTTGGAAACAAGATTGACCACCCCGACGCCATCTCCGAGGACCAGCTCCGTTCCGCGCTCGGTCTATACCAGACAACCGGTAAGGGCAAGGTACCGCTCGAGGGTATCCGCCCGGTTGAGGTCTTCATGTGCAGTGTGGTCATGAGGCAGGGATACGGAGAGGGTATCAGATGGTTGAGCCAGTACGTCTAGGCGGATTACTCCAGCAATTATAAGCACGCTAGGCGGACACAAAGCAACGGGGAGCGCATGTGGCTGCACCTTGGCTCTCTCGATGGTATGAATTAGATGCAAGTACATACCATGGCTATCACATGCGTAGTAGATGTACTCTTACGGGCGTTGGCGTTAGCTCTTGGAATAATATCATATTGCACACCAATACTTGTAATACGGTGCAGCGAAGGCTGGGTCGGCCCGAAGCGAGCGAGACCGCTACGTCGGGTGTTACTTCAGATGACGTGGGACAATCGCTCCATTCCACTTGTATACGTGATGAACGACAGAGATCATGCATTCAATATGGACACCTATGATGTTCTATTTCAAGATCATAGTTGCTGACAACGGTTTAGCATGATGAAAGAAACGTAACTCATATTTGCGTGCAACTCTCATGGATTTTGGAAAGTTGATTAGCGATAAGACTGAAGGACGAATATGTACCGACATGGAGATGCCATAACTGTATAATCGTAATCAGGCATTACATATATCCAATGTACGCCGTTTGGTAGGGTCCGATATCTCGATTTTGGTACGGTAATTCACGTAAACAGCTCAAGCATGAGTGAGATATCAAATGTGCCAGATGTGTTGTACCACAGTTCCGAATACCAGATGTGGAAATCGTGAATGCGATTTTGGACAGCCAAAAACGTCGAGCTAGTGAGCTATCTCCTATTGGCTTTTTGTGGAAGGAATAGATGACAGAAAGTTAGATCGCTCTGTTCATTACATTAATTCGAGTCTCAGAAATGGAGATGCGATTTTGGGAAGTTGAGAGCGGTGATTGAACGAATCGGTCTCTTCAAGAGCTTGTGCGAGGAGATCTCTAGAGGCGCCAAATGACTATCTGCTAGAGTCAAAAAACACATCTCGGGACTGGGAGTGCAAAACTGAGGAGTCAACAGTGTTGACTGGATGTTTTGATGCTTTGATGCTTTGATGCACCGTCAACCGAGCCTTTTGCGAAAGAAGCTTCAGATAAACGGAATGACGGTATTCGTTAACGGAAATCATGATCTCGTAATTGCGATTGCAGTTCCAATAAGCTGTTTGTCTTAAGTAGACGAAACCTCAAACCCCTACTTCACAATACTTAGGCACGTATTTTGTCAAAACGATTCCCGAGACTACATACGAAATCCTGGGCGTTGGTTCAATGTCAAACGGCGATATTTCCCAGACATTCTCACGCAAGACACTTCAAAAGTCCAGTTCACAATATCTATAACAAGAAACCAAATTCTCTATTTCGAAAGCACGCCACCACCCCTTCCCCAGGCGTTCTCGCCACCTGAACACGGCACAGTCAAACCCCAACCCGCTGGTTCGTCGAACAACCCGTCTCGACCAAACTTTGTCCCCGCGGAAAGCCGAAAACCCGAGAAAGAATCGCACAGCCACTGCTAACTCATCTAGCCCTGTTCACGTCCTATTAATATCTCCTCAAGAACTAAAGAGGATTCGATAATGCGCTTGCTAGATGCGCTTGCTGGTAGTGTCAGAGACGGCGCAAGCCTCCCAACGACTCTAGTGCATGCACGCGTGTCAATCGATAACGCGGGCTGCAACTTAATCTTTGGTGGTTTGACACGTTGGCTGAGGGACTGAGGGACTGAGGGTGGTTAGGTGGTTAGGGTGGGCTGTAGCTTGGTGGGTTGGGGTTATGGGGGAATAGCGAGGCAGGGACGGTGTGTGTATGCAGGGTGGATTGACGACGTTTGTCTGTGGTTTCTCTTTTTTTTTTTTTTGTTGTCGTCTTTCTTTGGAGATGAATATACTGTACTTTTGAGCTGTATCTGTTCTATCGGTTTATGTAGGCCTGTGTGAAATCGTAGGAGCTGCATTGAAGTGTGTGATGTGCAACTGACATCATGATTTCGTACCGTGTACTTCGGAGAATGTACCGGTACATATCCCTTGCTGAAGCAACGTGCACGTGGGGTATATAACTCCTCACCGGCTGTTATGTACGGGCTCAAGATGCCTGTCAAGACATATGCGTGACACTGCATGTTGGAGACTACATGCAGTAGCAAGCGAAAAGCGTACAATCGCCGGTGTGATGTGATGTGACACAGCTAGGATAGAGATCAGCATGCACAAGCAGGGAAATGCGCCTCTGCGGCACTGCGAAGGATGTATGTCGTCTGACTGTTTGACCAGGATTACCGCAGTAGCTTTGAAGGGATTGAGTAATGGGGCACATTTCTTGGAAAGCGGAGGATTTGTGAAGGAGTTTGGTTGCGGGGTCAGAGGTTGCAGAAGGGTTGGCTATCACGGTAGAACAGTTGAGGAACATGTTGTGTTTTTTTATCCGTTTATATTAATATTTTCATTGCATGGAGATGCGGGACTACCTATTGAACTAGCTAGGTCCGTGGCTTCTTTCTTAGAAACAAATATCCAAACACCATGCCGCCTATGCTTTAGCTATGTACATGATGTCGTAGATGCATGCAGTCATCAAGGAACGTTGCAAGGAAATCGTGTCATCCTCCACTACAGCCTTCATTATGTGGTCGTCAAAGCGACCATGTCCCATGTTCATCGCGCGCGCTGAATGGAGCTGATCTCGCTTACAAGAACGAGAAGAGGGCGAGGAAACCGGCAGCGAGAGCGCCGATGCTGGCAGTGCCAGTGGAGGCAGCACCAGTGAACTCTGAGAAGGGAGGCATGGTGGAGTTGGCGATGGGGGCAGAAGCCTGGGGCTGACCGTCGGAGATCTGGGTGACGAGAGGAGCGGAAGCCTGGGGCTGGCCGTCGGAGATCTGAGTAACGACGGGGGCGGAAGCCTGAGGCTGGCCATCAGAGATCTGGGTGACGACAGGGGCAGATGCCTGAGGCTGGCCGTCGGAGATCTGGGTAACGACAGCAGGCGAAGAAGCCTGGGGCTGACCGTCAGAGATCTGGGTGACAACGGCGCCGGGGGTGGAAGCCTGGGGTTGACCGTCGGAGATCTGAGTGACAGCTCCGGCAGAGGTAGCCTGGGGCTGACCATCGGAGATCTGGGAGACGGGGCCGGTCTCCTCGGACATGGTAGCCTGGATGTGGATGGGAATGCACTGAGCACCAGTCGACTGGCTGTACAGGTTGTAGAAGTCTCCAGACAAGCACTGGTAGAAGACAGCGGAGCCCATCAGAGACATGGAGCCGTTGCTGCAGAGACCGAAGCCTTCAGTCTCCCTAGCACCCTCCTGTACGGGCTGATCGAACTGGAATCTGATAACATGTTAGCACTGACTGGATATGTCAGAGTGTTGTAGTGGACGCACTGGTAGTTGGCGGCGATGTAACCGGTGCGACCAGCCTGGTCGGTCAACTTGCCGTCCTCGAGAGACAGCTGAAGAGTACCATCAAGCTGGCGTCTGACCATCCTGGAGGGAGTGGTGGTGGCATTGACGGTGGTGATGGCGAAAGTGCCCGGGGCAGAGGACGCACACTCAGCGTCGGAGGAGGCCTGGGGGTAGGCAGCAACGGCAGCCGCGAGGCCGGCAGCGACAAAGGACTTCATTTTCGGATAGTCGGTTGGTGGTTGATATTAATGTATAGGGCGTACTTGACAGCGAGCGTAAGTAGCGACGGAGTAAACTGAAAAGCGAGGTATCAGTTACTTGATATACGATTGGAAGACTGTCGACGATGCTGGTAACCACGACAACGAGAGTGTGAGATGTTCTGGGTAGGTAAGAAACGCGGGAAGGTAAGACAGCTATATACTCACAACCAGGCGAGTACTTAGTCTATTCAATCTACCTCATCGAGCATATCACCGCAGATCGGACATGCACTGAAGCCTCAGCGCTTGAGCCAAGGTCATGGATCAACTCCACGCGTCAATGCGAAGCTACAACCGCCTAGCGTCGACGCTTCTGACGGCTGGAGAAAGAGGCTGGATAGAGATCGCGCGTGCCGTAACGATAAACACCGCGGAGACTTCTGCTACATCATTGGATGCCCTTTCATCCGACCCCTCAGTTAGTTCCCCACCATTTCACTGAGAATGCGCGTGAACAAAGCCCGTCCCGCCTCTCGTCTAAACTTATCTCAATCCCAGCCCGTGAGTAACTTTTGATCGCGATTGCTGCCATTGTATTGGCTACCCTGACGCAATGGTTTCAGCCTTCTGGTCCATGTATTCTGCCTGTCAATTGACCGGTGACATGCTGCCTAATGCAAATCTCGATATGTTGAGCTCGGTTTCCGTGGTATGCAACCTCTAAGACAGCTGCTCAACCGAAGTCTCGTAACTGCGGGTTTAGGACGATCGCTCCGTGCAGCATCCTAGCGCCTTCCTTAGAGCAATATACGTGCGTTCTGTAGACCCCGATGTGGAGTGTGGCGGGGCGTCGTTATTCATCAGTTGTGCGCGTCTCATTGGCCGACATGCAGGCGGATCTGCAGGGTGGTGTATGGTGAAAATGTAGCTCGCTCAATCGGACTATTGGAAGGCAAAATGCAAGGATGACGACGGATGGGATTGGTGTCAAAGAGACGAATGCCCCAATTGATGTCAAAGATCGGTTCCCAATTCGGAACGACGCTTACGTGCGCTAGCGCAACGCTTGTGGGGTACATGTGGCTTTCGCCTTCGCAAGTGTCTTCAGCCGCCCCAACCCACCTTCTCCAGTGGAACCGTTGCATGGGAACGCTTGGGACGGGCTGGGGGAGGCTGGCAGGCTGGCCTTGCGGGCGCATATCGATAGTATGCCGCTTATTGCTGGCTGGCTGGCTGGCTGCAGGCTGGCGCATTTGCCTCCGTCGGCTGGTCAACCCTAGAGAACGCTTAGATTGTTGGGTAAGACTGGTTGCATTTGTGGGATTCTGTGCGATGGAAACATGGCATTTGAAAACAATACCACTACCCTTGGCTACGATGTGGATTTGCAAATATTGCGATGGTAGACATATCTGACATGAGATGCGCATATGTCAGACGTACCATTGACGTCACACACTCGAGTCGTCCTCCACCCTCTGTGCTGATTTATCCCGCAATCGTGGCGCTAAGCAGCTGCATGTACTCGACAGCTAACCTTCAGTAGTCATTCCCATTGCAGCTTCTCGTGCGGTCAGTGACACGGTGAGGCTTTCCGCGAGTGACGAAAGTAGGTTTGATCATCTGACCCCGCACAGCGCCTGCCTTTCTCAGACACGCATATGTACATCCAACACCGCGGCCAGCGTATGACAGGGAGCCGAGCCGAAGGGGTCTGTGTTGGTGAGGTTGTTCGGCCTCGGCGATCACGATCTCACGATGGATGGACCCTCCACGCTGATCCATGGGACAGTGGCGCGCCAACCGACAATTTAGTCCCCGCAGGGTCCTTCTCTACTTCCCTTCGGTGTCCTTTGGACTGGTACTCCGAGACAGAACCAACAAAGTCCGCCGAACAGTAGCTAGCTGCGCCATGGGTATGCCAGGCGTGGGATGCTCATGTACCTGGACCTAGGTAAAGGTAAAGGTTGCTTCGGCATGAGATATCCGGAACCATCGGCATCCGGTGGAGAAGACTCGGGCTACTCGGCCGCGGTATCTTTCGAGGATCACAAAAGTGCAAGCTTCACATAGGCGTTGCATGATATGAGCGGAGATCTCTTCGGCGCACTGTTCCGGCATCGCGTCTTGGACACATATCTGATCACAGTGCCTAAGAAGCCAACTCAAGTTAGTATGGGACACTGGCGTCAGAGGTACATTACATACGAGATATGTACCTATGGACTTGGCGACATGCCATGCTGATAGCATTTGGTGGCTGTGTGTAGTCTTGTCCGTCCCCCGCTATACGCCAGGATGTAGGCCGTGGAGAATGTGGTACAAGCCCCAGTCTTCACTGACAAGTCCAACTCTTGTCGAACCTTATCGAGACCTACTTGCCCTCCCCAGCACGTTTGACGCCTCCTGCTACATCGTTTGCACCTTTTTCAATGCTCGTGGATACATCGGCAAGGCCTCGTGCAACCGGCCGACCGGCACTGCCTGTGGCGCCCTCGACCTAAGCAAAGGCGCTCAGAGTCAGTATATTTTCATTTGTAGTTAGTACAGATCAATCTACCGTTTCGCCCAAGCCTCGTCCAACCGCGCCAACAACCCCTCCTAGAGTGTTTGTAACGCCGCCAACCGTATTGCCTACAGTGGACGTGACAAACTTGACGCCAGAAGTTACACCGCTTTCTTGCTGGCCGATAGGCATGTTGACGATTGGTCTTGGAGGTTGGTGGGTTGTTTGTTTGTTTCAGGGTGGTCGCGATGCTAGTTCCCGAAGATAGTAGAGTTTGTTAGATGCCGGCTAAGTGGTAGTGAGCTTTGGTGATATCCTGTAGCGTCTGTGCTGCGATGGTGCATTTATGATCCACGGATTTAGTGACGTCATGGGGCTTCGCAACAGCAGACGCGCGGTGCACGTTGGAAATCCTGCATCGTGCAACCGCAAACCTCCTCCTCGTGATCCCAGGCATGATCGCGACTCGGCCCGTGTCAGATGGCGTTTGCGTCGTCCAGTTGTCGCCCTCTCCGCATTATCTCGCGCAAGTACCAGCTGCGGACGCGGCAGCCACAGGCGTTGTCCGGGGAAGTTTCACGAACTCCTCATTGGCATAGTTCCCTCCTCGGCATCTGCATCAGAGATGACTGGCGTTGCATACACGATCGCCATCGACTGGCGCGACCATGGATCTCCTTGTTGTCCTGACAGCAGCTGGCAATCCCATCTTGACGCATGACACCAGGAAAATTTTCCAAAGTTCAGCTTCTTGCGATGGCATTCCGCGCGAGCAGCACCGATGCACAGCACCTCGAGAAGGTTTTCAGAGAAGCTGCGACGAGCTCGGTGGCCGAGTGCTCCTAGATCCAGATGCGCAGGACGCCTCGGCAGGCCGCAAGCCACGGAACGCGAGCGCAGAGGCTTGTTCGAATATCATTGGCAGCACACCGTTGTGGCCTGAACCTAAGGCAGCCATATCGTAGAGATACACAAGGCTGTCGCATTACTTGCGGCCGACACTCGCAACCGGCATCATGTTCTCTCCGACTGTAGGGCCTCATCGGGGCATACGGACGAGAAGCATGCGCGCATGCTCTCAGGCAACCCCTCTCGCTGCGAACATATGATGAACTGATTTCCCCCCAAGAGGTTCGATACTTACCTGTAGCTCGTCAAAGCTCGCCTACACTTCGATACACCCAGAAACAACGCCAATACACGATCGAACCAAACCTCGACCGAAATCATCCTCAGTCCGATTCACGTAACCACATTCCGCCCTCGAATTCGAACCACCTACGAATCGCGCGCCAAACGTTCGAGATGACGTCCTTGTTCCCACATCCTCCTTACGCCGAAGACCAGCCGTATGCGCGCAGTATCCTATACCTGCATGTCATGCGCGCTTCAGCCATGTCATTTTCCTTCTTTTCAATCCTCCAGTTTCCAGCCTCTATCATCGCAGCACGATACCGTAATTCCCCGATCGATTACGCTACAATCCTATCTCGTACGCTCAAGACTGCCGGTCGCGGCCTCGTTCTAGGAACAGCAGCTGGCGCGATCATGACATGGGGCCGCATGAGAGGCCGAGAGGAAATAGAGTGGAAAGATAGGTCATGGCGGATACTGGAGAATCATGGCGAAGTGAAAACAGATTGGGTCACACTTGGCGCGGCTGGGACCGGTGCTGCCGGGGCTCTGATCGCTGCACGGAGCGGCCGGGTGCCGATAACTGTTGGGAGTGCCATGCTGGGAGGAGCTGGTGTTGGTATGGGCACTGGAGTGCTGTACATGATCGCGTCATTCGCATCGGGGAGGAAGCCTGCTTGACGACGGGAGATGCGAAACTGGACCATGCCTCTGGTATAGAGTTGACCCACGACGAGCTCTTGGTAACGCCGAAGGCTATATGCTTGCATGCTACCGTCCAGTCTGGGTCGCGCTCAACATTTCCTGGTACTGGTATTCGGGCCATTTGAAGCTGCCACGCGGACCCTAGACCTTCGCGCTGCTCCGACACATAGCCACGATTGTAATATATCTGCTTATCAAGGCAATGGTTCTGGACGGTTGAGTCACCACAAGCTCACTTGTACGTCTTTCTAGCAGTGCAAAATTCTTAGAAGTTACGCTTGCCCTTTCTCGCTGCGCAGCGTATAGTGGAGTCTCTAATTCGTGCTGAACAGATCGATTTTATGCATCTCCGGGGAAAAGAGAAAACCGATGAACTGCGTCAAAAGGAAATCCCACATCTCGGAATGCGTGTATGCGACATCGTGCGTTTCGGCGGCCAACGTTGGGCTAACCTTAAAAGAATTTTGAAGCTCCAACCTTCTACGTTGCTACGCAATCTTCGAGCTCCGCTCCACACTCTTATCTTTTTATATTTTTGCTTGTTTGCGTATCTGCGAGATTGACTGTTCACACATGACGGTGATGTGGTTTCACGCGTCATTGGCACCTTCTCTTTACGCGCAGGCGAACGACCTCGGTCTGACCTACTACCAGATGCAAACCTCAGGCCGTTGCACTTCTGGATGCGATACAGTGCGCCCATCAAGCTATTCCGCCCGCCGATGACCTCATCCGAGCAGGCTTCTTGTAGGTAGCCCAATATACGAGCGCACAGATCGCCGGCAGTTTCCCGTCTGATCTTGTTCGTCCGACTTCCGCTGTCGCAATGCTATTAAATGAAGGATACAGTATGACGATCCCAAGTGAGCACAGGGCGGAACGTCAGTGTGACCCTCTGAAACGGTCTTGGGCCGAGTGACCTCCGCCGTCGCATCGAGGGCGCGTTACCCAAAGCCATTGTTCTCGAAACATCCCCGGAACGTGATACCTGTTGAACACGCTTGAGCTCCTACAATCTCCACGCATTCACGCAGACTGCTCCACCACGCAGCCTTTACCTCCGAGATGATATTGTCAGAATTGCGCCGTCGCCGTATTCGATTCTTTCGCTTGCAGACATCCCCACAGTCGTGCTGTCCGCTGCTTCGCATTCACTATATCTAACGCTCTCCATTGGGTCTTGCCCTTTAAGCGGCGGCCCCAGATTCGCTGCGACAGGGATCGGTTACTAGACACGCTGTGATCGGTCCAGGTTCCAGGATGAATACGTTACACCAAGTCCTCCGTACTAGCGCTGGCGGATGCCCACTTGCGAAAGAACAATTGGCGCCTGCACACAACACCCGCTTCTCATGTCTCTGACAGCCACGACCCGGACCGCGCAACAGGCCCCGTTGGACGTGTTCGGCTGCGCAGTCTCCGAGATGTTGGAAAGCCAGCCATCTCTCATGTAGTGCGCTGTTCGTGTAAGAGAATTGATTGAGAGGCGGCAAGTGCGATATCCAGACCGTCGCACCATGGAGTACGACCGGCTTCTATAGCGATGACAAGCCTTTTGAGTGGCATGTGTAAAGTGCAGCCAGCAAGCACATCCACGTGAGGGTGACCGACGGGAGACTAGACCGTTTGGCAAATAGAAGGGCCTCTGCTTAACTTGTTTCTGTAAGTGTTAATATGCAGTAAGTAGCAAATTGCGGGGGACGTCTTGGGAGACACCCGGCTGTGCCTGCCTTGGGCGCGCGTAAGGGGACAAGGGTTTCGCAGCCCTTGACCTTGTTCCGGGTTTATATGAGGAAGCCCACCCACCAGCAGGGCGAGATGTGGTTTTCGCGATTTCTTCAGGTTTCTGAGAGTAGGTCGTCGAGATGCCTACCTATCCTCTTCAACTCACCTGCCTGGGGGTGATCTACGGCACTCCCCTCTTGGCTTCGATATTCGTTATTCTGCGGATATACACACGGCGGAAGCTGAACTTACGGTTAAGCTGGGGTATGGCGTTCAACATCACTTGCGCAAACCGTACTGACGTACTTGTACAGATGACTGGCTTATCATACTTCCGTTACTGCTTTCCATAGCCCTCATAGGGCCTTCTCACCGACGTACGTACTGATGTAAGCGCCGACACTGGCTCTTACTGACCCTGAACAGATGTCAAGATGTGGCATGTTGGCGTGCATATCTGGGAGGTGCCGCCGAACGAGATAGAACCAAACTATGACGAGTACTATGCCGTATGTTTAGTCCCACCATGCTACAGCGAGAGAACTAATAGCAGCAGGTTGTCATGGCGTTCAACCTCTTGAACATCCCCATACTACCGCTCGTCAAAGCATCGATCATCCTTCTCCTCCTTCGGGCCGGTTCCGTTATTGAATGGCTCAAGCGAGTGCTCTATGCCATCTTGGTCTTCACTGTTGGAAGCGCATTGATACCATGGTTCTTGTACATCTTCATCTGTCCACCTCTAACTGGAAACACTTGGAAGCCGAGGACTTTCGGCAACCTGCATTGCATGGGCAGACACAAAATGGGAGAAATGTTGATCTGGGTCACATGCGCCAATCTACTCACCGATGTTCTGATCCTCCCGATACCTTTCATCATCGTGCGAAGGATGATGAGTGCTCGGTTGAGGTCCCGTTTGGTGGTATTGGTGGTGTTTACATGCAGTCTCGCGTAAGTCACACTGACCTAGTATGCGAGGATAATAGCTGACCTCTCCACAGTGTTACTGCCATCGGCGCGGCAAAGATCTACTTATCGTATCGCGACCGCCTCTACACTCTGTTCAACCCCGATTGGACCTACCCGATCGACTACTGCATCAACCACATTGAGAACAACGTAGCAATCATCGTAGCCAACATACCGATCCTACGCGGCCTCGTCACACGATGGATCTTCAACTTCCGCACCAAAGCGACGCCCATTGATCGCGAGTTTCGTGGTGATTGGCAACAGCAACAGCAACAACAACAACAACCGAGAAAGTCGGACGCTTCAGACTTCAGCCGCTACACAAGAAAGAATCGTGTGGTACAGAAGATCCTCCCCTGCATCCAGGATGACTTCTCCAGCAGCCTGGCCTCGCGCTCCAAAGGCGACATCAGCAGTAAGGTGGACTGCCGGCCAGATTTCCCACCTCGAATCTGCACCACAGGGGAACAGCGCTACCAGAAACGAAGTTACTTTCCGCGATCGCGAAGGAATAGCTTGGATCGGTATAGCACGGCCGACTCCTGCGAGAAGGGTGACATATTAGAGACGGTTAGGAGTGTGGGTAGTTTGGGTTCTGCGCCAACGCTCGTGGAGAGCAAAGATGCGTACACAGAGTGGAAAAGCATGGACAGCCCAACGCTGAGCCCAACAGCGAGGTTCTCCACGCAGACATTGTGCCCCATTGCGCCGTTGACGCCGGCGAGGTTGCGGGGGATTGAAGATGATGAGGTTGATGATGAGATATACCCATACCCGAGAGCATTATGATATCATAGCGAATGAACAATATACGATGAATCTTGATATCTGTAACGTCTCACCCTGCTCACGTTCAAAGCCCAGCTACACTTTCCCGTCAACAATCTTGCAAAACTGCAAGACACCACAAACCCAACCCGCCCAAATAACGACCCGAAAAACCCTCAACCTCCTCGACCCAACCCCAGACCCCTTCATGTCGGCAGTCACACATCTGGTACGTACCTACCTTTACGCACCCCCAAGTCCCGTACGCCCTATCCGAGTGGCGGGTTTCCGTTGTCTCAATTTCAGTAAAGTTACGTTAGCCTGCCACCAGCATCCAACCACACCACGGCGGCGCTCAGGCCCGTTTGTCCGCAGGGGTGCGCATGGCGAGCGATGGATCTGGGGTATAACCGTCCAACCCGTCATGGTGTGGTACTTGCCTTGTCAAGACGCAATCCGAGCCGTTCCTTTGCCGCAGGGGTGGTCGAGTTGCTGATCATGCTGTCTGTGCGTCAGCGTGTCTCGTGTCGTGTCGTGTGTTGCGACGTGGGCGAGGGGTGGAAGGTGATCGCGGGTGGCGGGGTTGACCGGGATGGATGGATGGCTTGAGTGCGTTGCGATGGATTGCAATCGGTTTTCGCGCTTCTTGTCTACGTGATGAATGTATTCGTGGAATGTGCTGCACCGTGAGATTCTTGATCCCAGGCCTATACAACAAGGTCGTCTCCTTCACATACCCAGATACCCTACAGCCAAGGCAATCCAGACTCCAACGACCCCAAACCCAATTCCCGCATCCCAATCTCCGTTACACAGGATTCGCGGGTCCAATCTAGAGTTTTAGTCCCACCATCCCCTCGCCTTCGCAACGGCGGGAAGCGCATTCGGTTTCTCGTTGCTTATTCCTCATTACCCAGATCGCGCGGAAACCTTACTTGAAGCAGCAACTGTCGTCCGACTGGCAAAGCTATTACGCACCTCCACCCCCATCGAGGCACGGAATCCACAACTGGGGCATCGCCGAGGCCTTGGGCGGAGAAAGAAGAAAAACAAGAGTTGAGTGCCTGGGCGAAATCTCTCAGCAAGCGCGTACTCTCATTTCACGCGTTGTGTTGTGCGATGATGCACGCGACGGAAAGGATCTTGCTGCGCGTAAGCGAGGGGTAGGAAGGCACGAAAGGTAGGTGTTTGTATCCTCCAGTCAACGTCCTCCTCGCACCTCCCTCACGCGCACCCTATACTTCACCCTCGCACCACACACAAACCTCCTCGTCTACACCTACCATCCAGACCAGCCATCCCCTTGCCCTATGAGTGCCAAAGCCCCACCCCTTCATCGCCCTATTTCCTTTTCCCCCATCCCTCCATCCAGCATCCTCCGTAACTCGTGACATTTGCCCACCCGCCCAGCATTAGTACACCCTATTAGTCCAGTCCAGCCATATCCATGTAATATATCAGATTTTCGTTAGCGCCCGCCCGGCTCAATATGGATAATCTCCCCTCTTCGGTGCGGAGCGAAGCGGTCGCTCGCGCATCGCCGGCTGGCGGGGGTAAGTACGTGTGATGTGATTTTCAAGAATGGGCGGGAAAGATCTTGTTCGGATGTCATTTGCCTAAATGGATATGCAGGGTGAGGGCGTGTATGTTGATCGGTAGTCGAGGGTGCGAAGGCTGGAAAGGCTGGGTAGGGCGGGTTCTTACTCATCTGTGTTTCTTGAGGTAAGGGCGTATATCTGGGATGTGCACTGTGGATTTTATGATGAGCGTTTGGGGACGAAGGGGATTTGGGTGTGGCGGTATGGCGTGCGCTCGTGATAGGATGGCTTTTGAACATTGGCTAGATTGGGTGCTGTGAGTGGTCTCTTGACTTTTGAAAGGACGTTTAATGCCTTGGACTTTTCGGTTTCCACCAACCATTCTCGCTGCTTCATTGCACCACCAGCCAGGTCTCATGATTTTTTCCTGTTGAGTTCACGCCACAATGTGGGGTTCTTGAGCGAGTGTAGAGTGGCTTGTCATTGAAGGCGTAAACGTGTTGCCGTACAGCGTTGCAATGAACGCCCCTGAACCTTTCTATGCAAAGCCTTCGTCTTGCTAGCATACAGGTTGACTCCTTCTGGACCCAAGAAGAGGTAAGGAGAAGAAAGACGGTACAGTCGTAGTAGCATCACCGGCAATTCCGGCACTGAAGACGTTATGAAGAGATTGTCGCGCCGCTCGTGGCGCAACATGCAATCCATTTTGATGCGAATATTTTATTGATAGGGTATCCATGCATGACAAACAACCACCATCTGACAAGGCTTGCCAACCAGCCTCCAAAGATGAGCGGACACAAGAGAAATGAGAAAAGAACGTGACGATCGTGAAAGAGGGCTGCCAAAAGCGAAGGGTGACGCACGGCATCGGCGTCACCGATGCTATATCGATATTAAAGCTAGTATGCCAGCGGCGAAGAAAGCCATAGTAGGGGAGCCAGACATGAGGCTCTGGGCGGCGGAAGCCTCGCCAGCCAGCACTTTGTCGTCATTACGAATGCAGTTTGTCTTGGCTGTAATTTCCGCGGGACAGACTACGCGTTTGAAGTTCGCACTGTGTGACGTTAGTCTATATAATTTGTGTAGCCTGCGGATCGAGATGAGGGCATGTTTACCTAGGGTACGATGCATCCTTGAACCAATCAAAGCGCCATTCGCAACCGGCTCTCAGGTTCTCGGGTAGCTTTTGGCAGTCTTCGGTGGAGCTGACACCCATCATGAGCTCACCGAAGACGCTTTGGTCCACGCCATACTGCTGGGCGCATGCATTTGTCGATGTTGTGTTACCGCCAGGAATCTAGATAGTTCAGCTTTGCGACCATGATAATGGATGTTCATTGAAGGCTTACTGCAAGTGAAAACCGGTTTCGGTCGGTTACATCGTAGGCGGTATTCGAGGCTTGAACAATCATGCTCTTGCCGATCAGAGGCTCACTCGTAAAGTCGAGCTGGTAGCATGCGCAGCACCAGGCGCCCTCTATACCTCCGTGAGTAAGTTCGGGTAGAATAAAGGCACCGGCATAGCCATATGAAACAGTGTCGTTGATGGCCCATGGCTGCTGGCTGGAGCACTGAAACGCGGAACCGCCGTTACAACCAGTGCCGGCAGCATCGTCCGTGGGCTTGTCGTCGGCCGTACACGATTCTACCGGACTCGAGAAATCTGCTTTGCCGTTCCAACCACATGATGGCTTACAGCAGTCCCAGAAACGAGATGTGACGGCCTCTCCAGTATAGTTGAGATGTGCGCATCGTGCAAAGACCGCGAAGAGCTCGACGGCAAGGGCGATATTGCGGAGATGTTGCGGCATCATTGCGGAATGAGTGATCTGAAGTCGAAGTAGAAACCGAATGGCATGGTTTGTTAGCCAGAGTGATCCGCGCGCAGTGCCAGGAAATTGTATTTGAAGGATACTGAAAAAGAGGGGTCCCTTCTTTAGTCCGGCTGCAAGGAGAGATTAAACTGTTTTCGATACTCGAGGCCGAGAACCATCATGCTGTGCACCGTGCAGGGGTGGGCGGAGCTTGGGTACTGAAACGGTACCCGGGGTAGTGGCATCTGAGAGGTCAGAGAGCCGCTGTCACAGTTCCCACACGCTGTCAACCTACCCGATGCCTTGACTTGCATTGTCTGGCCTTATAGATTGCCCCTGTCATTGCCTCGTGGTGCACTTTCCCCACACTCTGCACGCAACGTTGTATCGCTCCCCGCAATTCGGCAATCGCGACATCTGCTCGCAAGGTCGCGTAAATGAATGCCGGGACGGACGCGACAAAACCGAGGAATTTGTACAGCTGGGTTGCCCGTTGTTGTGCTTTATGCTCGCTCTCGTGTTAGACGAGAAGGTTTGCCCAATGTCTCACGCTCCGCCCTGCCCCCTTCAGGGCTCATCTCGGCTATTCTCGCGACCGTTCAAAACGAACTTCTCCGCTTCTTGAGCTGCAACCGTTCACACCGCACTGCCGTGTGACGCAACCTTGAAGGCTGATAATACTCCGGGCGCTCGGTTCACGTGGCCTCAAAGAGGTTGAGCACCGTAGCTGAATAGGGAAGCAGATGCACCCGATTGGCCGCAACTTCAATATCGCTACCAGACTAGAGGCCATACTGAAGCACGCAGTATCTCTTTTGCTAGGATGCTATGAACTTTGTGTAAACAAGTAGCTAGCATTGCTCCGGCTGAATCGACGTCGTCAGCATAGCCGCTGGTCATGCGTAATAGCGCGTTTGTCATATAGCAGTCGCCATCGCCAACATCGCTAGACGGTGTTCGCAGTTTCGCGATTAGGAAAGGACCGAAGTACGTGGCATAAGTATGGACCGGATGTTTGGTTGAGAGGGCAAGGCATGAACGTCTTCCATGTCTACTATCTGCCAAGCCACCGATACACGAACTCTGCCCCACCCGGCGTTCGCTCAAGTCTCCAAAGTCCACTCTGCTGAGACAGCAAACGCTCTGGAACTTGGATACGAGCTGCCGCCTGGGCAGCTCTTACTGTACATCCTTGGGCTGGATTTCCGGCGATTGCCGTTGAGATGTGCGCGGTGGATTTTGAAATCATTATGTTAATTCACCGCTACTAATACATCGTTATCAAGCGTACATGCTCGTAATACCTCCGTAGTTATGCAAATTGTGCATAGACTCCTCAACGCCGTCAAAATATGCTCGTCACGCGTAGAGTCTCGTGTCTGTTCTCCGTCTCTCATACTCTAGCCGAGCGCCGGGATGCGCTCAATCACTTCTCAGCATGCTCTCTACCAAATCACCCAACGGTCCCCAGAAGTCCTTGCTCCCACTTGCCAGCCCATGCTCGTCTATGAACAGCACATAGTGCTTGAAGCTGGTGTTTAGATGAGGCTCCAGGCCCAATTCGATGATGACGGGGTAGTGGTGGCAGTAGATATGTGCGTAGACGCGGTATAGACG